GAACTATTCAAAATAATGTGGAGATACTTTTCATGCAAACTTAAAGATGTTGAGTAAAAGAGAAAGAAAAAGCATGGAGTTTTAACTGTGAGAAATCAGAGAAGAATAATTCCAAACATTTTGTATGATTTTAGCAAATTAGTAGGATAATTAAAAACTGCTGACACATTGATTTCTAGAAATATAAACATTCTCATTCCACTTCAAACTTTCTATTGCTGTGCATGAAAATTTGACCTCTGTGTTCTTATTACCTTTTACTACTAGTGCCACATTCTGACTTAGACTTCTGCCTAGCTGATGCCTCATGTTGGTCTCCTAGACACTCCTAACTAACCTGGCAAGTCTCCTTCAAGTTGCAGATATTGAGGAATCTGGTATGTCTTGCTGCCCCCAACTGGTGACCAAAGACTGTTATGCTTGGGACTCCAATAAAATCAAGATTTTTGTTGTAAATTAATGCCAACATTTAATAAATACTTCTTATGAGAGAGTTTCATAAGGTTGTTTTAAGCTAAGTAAATATTATTTAGTTATTTTGGTTACTTTTTAAATTAGTAGGTTTTAAAAATGTTTATTTTGCTTTGTTTTCCTTCATAGATTTATAAAGAGAGGCTTTAGTTCTTCTCATAATCTTTTTCTAAAATGGGCACTACGGTATTGAAAGTCTAAGTCAAATTTTTCTACCAGAATTTTGCAAAGATTTTCTTTCTTTCTACACATAAAGAGTTGACTTCTTATGGTTTTGAACACAGAGTTTTCTCTAAATTGAGAACATATATTGGATTTGCATATTGCTTTCTTGAAATGGTTTTTTTTTTTTAAAAGGTAATGGTATATAAGTCTTCTTGGGCTTCTATAGCAAAATATCATAAGACTAAGCAACAGAACTTTATTTTCTCACAGTTATGAAGCCATGTCCCAAAAAATGGCTCAGTGGAGTTGGTTTCTGATGAGGCCCTTCTTTTTGGTTTGCAGATTGTCTACTACCTCACATGGTAGAGAGGGAGACGCTGGTGTCTCTTCCAAGACTTATTATATTATAGGTCTTGAACATCACCTTTGTGACATCATTGGAGTTTTATCTCCTCTTCACTGGAGGGACTTTATCTCCAAATATAGTCAAATTGAGGTTAGAGTTTCAACTTGAATTTTGAGGGAACACAGCATTCCATCTATAACAAATCATGATATGTAGATTTCAATAATCTAACAAGTTTTCCATTTATCACTTAATTTATTTTTTAAAAAAAATCACATACTGTGGGCTAGGAATGAATGTATTTGGGATTGATATTAAAATTATAAGGTATGATCCACACCATGGTAAACTGACAGTACAGCTGAGAAAATGAATCTAAAGTCAAGACTAAAGTGAGAGAGAGAGAAAAAAAACTAAATTATTATCCTGTCTTTCATTACAAAAGGATTTAGAAATGTGGATTGAAATGACCAGAGAAAAATTCTAGAAAGAGATTATATTTAGTATTTAGCCTTCTACTGAAGAACAACTCAGATTTTATTAACTTCAGTGGGCAAAAGAAAGAATATTTTACTGCCAAGAAGGTGAGAAAGGCACTAACTTGAGCATGAATATAAAATATGCATTACAATTTAAGGAGCCTAGCCTGACAGAGAGGACATTTAAAGACTCTGTACGATCAAGTATTATTGTTTAATATTCCCTGAGTATCCGTAGAGTGCTAGCTCAGACTATATACATGGTCTTTGTCCTTTGTAAGTTTGCAGTCAAAGACCATAAATGCTCGAGTCTGACAGCTTGGTGCTTTCAGGATTTGCTTAAATCTCCTGGTATTTTCCCACCAGGCTACTGCTACTGACTAAAGTAGTGGATTATGTGTCTTTGGCTGAAACATGACACAAAGAGTAATTGATCTTGTGCTGAAAAAACAAAACAAAACAAAGAAAAACTCTTCATCCCTTTGTTTCTTTCTTTGGTTGATTGTCTAGTGGGCACAGAATAATTTCAGAGCATCCAGTGGTATCCCTTGCCATACCAGAGGGTGAAGGGTTAGAAACACCAATTAGCTTGAAACCCTTGATACCTAATACTTTCTGTGGCTTTTTTGTAAATTTTTCTCAACAGTTCATTTATTTAATCTTCAAACCCTGGGGAACACAGCCTGGAAACACTGTTTCATAGTGCTAGGTTATAAATGGTAAAGACACACATAGCTCTTACCTCAGCAATGCTGGTGGGCACAGCCCATCCCACCACGGACACTGGCAAGTTTCTGATTATACCATCTCTGGTCACATCAATTCTATAATCTGAAGATTAGTAATGAAAAATGTTACCACAATAAAAATAATTCTGTAATTTGAACTGGATTCTTATACCACTATCAGACAAAAGATTGCTGCTTTTTATTTATTTTTTCTTTTTGAAAAAGCCACTGTGATGTATGTAAATTATAACTTCCTTTGCAGAGGCCGATCTGAAGGAAAAATTGTGTGGTTGTTGAAATTCATCTTTATCTTTTATTCCAAGATCAATTTTCTTCCTCCTGGATCCTGTTCTGGGCCCAGTTAACTTCACTGCACTTCCCTTGTGCTCTCCCATTCTTGTTCTCCCCATTAATCAAAGGAAAAAAGTATTTGTTACCAGTCCTCTAAACCTGTTATGAATCTAAGTCACGTTGTTATTTCTCTTCTGGGGATTCATATTTTTGGACTTACCTGTAATTCTAAAATAAACCTGTTTATGTTCTCCAAAAGAAGCTTTAGACACAAGTGTAGCAAATGGAAGTGTTTTTGAAGTCAGAGGAACTTCCCATTGCTGTTGAACTCACACTCAAGACAGGCAACTTTTTTGAGAAGATTGGTATCCAAATTGTAAAAGTATCTCAAAGTTAGGGATTTATGAACAATGCAAGGTCAGAATTATAACTAAGGGTCATATTACTAGAGTATTCAGGAGATTGAGGAAATAAAACTAATAATTTATTGGGGGCCTTTTGTATGCCAGGTAATGTGTCAAGTATCCTCATGTTTCTTTAGCTCATTTCAAAGTTGCCAGCAAGTCTATTAACTTTTTATTCCATTTTACCATTTAACTAGAGGCTAAGTTCCACAAAGACCCTACAGCCATCAAATGATGGAGCCCAGTGTCTCTGGCTTCAAAGTCTATTATCTTGGTGTCATGGAGAGAAAAGTCAACACACATGACAATTGAACATATGATTTCATTTGTTGTATTAAAATTTTGCTTCAAACACCTTGAATTAAACTCCTATAATCATGAGGTGGTACAAAACTTTGTACCATATTACCTTGTTGGATCTTAGTATGCAGAACAAAGATAAATTGTCTTTACAGAAACATTTTAATTCATTTCTGTGGTCCAAAGCTATCAATATAAGAGATTAGTAAGGTTATAGTGCAGAAAGTTACAGGATTAACCAAGAACTGCTCCATACTTAGCCTGCTTATGTTACTCTCCAGCTAATATCTGAATATGAATATTTCTGGTATAATTGCGAGCAGGTTAGCCAAAGTCAAACCACACAGTCACATGGGTCGTATTGTTATGCATCTTATGCCAAAAATACTGGGGAACCGCTACAAATCAAATATTTAAAGTTGTGGATGTCTCTTTAGATCCAGAACACAAGTTTAGCTTATTAAGGGTTAAAGAGGCTATTTTTGTACTTCCTCTGAGTTAGAATATCCTGCAATTTCACTTGGGAATG